GTTATCTCCGACATTGGTGACCTTTGGTCCTCGACATTTTGATCTTGTTATATGACATTCTGGACTACTATTTCGGAGACCTGCCGGACTCATTCTGGACTACTATTTTGGAGACCTACCGGACTCTATCTTGTGACCTATCGGTGTGATCTACCTCCTACCTCCTTCGTCTCTCCTCCCACCTTTCATCTGTGCATGTGTGTACGGGATCTGGGTATCGTCTATGCATGACCCAGACCCCACCATCTCATGATTGTATGTGTGTGGAGTGATGCCATGTAGGTCAGTCTATGTGAGTCAGTTCGTTATCAGACTTCCGCTGCATAAATGCTCATCCTATATTGGTTGATCTTTGGTTCTGCCCATACTCATTGAAGTATGTAACAGCTGATCTCGGCCTGCAGGGTAGCGATCTTCTTGTCCAATGCCTTGAATGCTGTTTCATGGCGGATGAAGACCTGCCGCATGGCCAGTAGTTCACGTTGCTGCCAATTGCACGTGTACAGCAGATTCTCCATTAGTACTGCTGTACCTCCCTTGTTACTCGGTCGGCTCTTCTCGTTCTTCGGTTTCGTGGAAATGCTGTCGTCGAAGTAGTCTGCTATACGTGGCTTCGTCGTGTGCAAGGTCCATCGTGGCTTGGTAATGAGCTTGGTGTTGACTTGCCTCGACCTGCTGCTGTTGCAGCCGTGCGGCTGCTGCAGCATCTGCTGCAGTCTGCTGACGTGCTGCCTCTGCCGCTGCCAGCCGGCGTTGTATTTCCTGCTGGCGGGCGGCTTCCTCCTCTTCCCACTTGCTCAGTTCAGCTGCCGTGGTCTCTGAGTAGAGCTGGAGATGTTTGAGGAACGCTAGAAGCGGTTCCTCAGCCTGCTGGAGTGGGATGGGAGGGGTAACCGGCCGCTTGGGGCTGGTTTGTGCATTGGCGTCAGCGGTAGCAGCCATGGTCGTGCGTCACTTGCCAACCTTGGCTCCTGCGGATCCTCAGCCTGCTGCCTATGGACCTACGGTAGCAGCCATCTGCTACTGCTAGAAGCGGTTCCTCAGCCTGCTGGAGTGGGATGGCAGGGGTAACCGGCCGCTTGGGGCTGGTTTGACCACTTGCCCACTTGCCAACCTTCTAGAAGGACTACAGCTAGACTTCTGGAACTCGCTAAGACTTCTACTCTATAGACCTACAGATCGAACCCCTGCTGCCTATGGACCTACGACAGACCTACCAACTGTCTACGAATACACAGGTCACAGGTTCAACTCTCGGGGTCTACACCGATACTGTACATGGGTAGGGTGAGGTCTAGGGATCGCACCCTGGGTACTGCATCTGCTACTGCTGAAAGGTGGAAACCATTTCAATTTCGCAAAAGTTAAATATTTAATCAAGAATATTTAAATTTGCACAAATAAGAATGAATAAAGTGTAAGCAAGTTTAAACATTTAAACATAACTACAATAATTTCACGAAATTTTAATTTGGAGAATTTAGCATCATCACGAGCTCACTAAGTAAGTAGAAGATGAATGGTAATAGGAAGATACACAATTTGCTGGGAAGATTCAACGTTGAACGGTGAGGTCTAGGGATCGAACCCTGGGTACTGCATCTGCTACTGCTGAAAGGTGAAAACCGTTTCAATTTCGCAAAAGTTAAATATTTAGTCAAGAATATTTAAATTTGCACAAATAAGAATGAATAAAGTGTAAGCAAGTTTAAACATTTGAACATAACTTCAGTAATTTCACAAAATTTTAATCTGGAGAATTTAGCTTCATCACGAGGTCACTAAGTAAGTAGAAGATGAATGGTAATAGGAAGATACACAATTTGCTGGGAAGATTCAACCTTTCAACGCAATAAAAGATGCATTTTGCAAAAGTGAAAGTTCCGTGAAGTTGCAGTTTGAACCGTGCTCAGGCCCGATCTGCCTTAACCGGCGTGGTGCCTGGCTGGCACTTACTTTGCATAGGTTGGATAGGCCGTTTAGATTAGGTTAGGACTAACCCTAATTAACGCTAATTAGGTTACTCGTAATTAGCGATTCCCTAATTGCGCAATATGGGGAAAAGTCAGGAAACCTGAACTATAATTCGATGACCTAATTACTATGCAAGTGCGGAAAAGAAAAAAAATTGCAACTTGCGATTTAATGATAACAGAGTGCAGGTGTAGATAATCAATCAATCAATGGTGAGTCATCCAATGCTGGTCTGCTCCGATACCAAACTGTTGCATACTCATGAAACACAGTCATAAGTATGGCGCAGATTCCCAGAACAGACCAGATAATATGTTGCATTGTGGAACTCACAGATAATATGTTGCATTGTGGAACTCACCAAGCAGATGCGTATGTAGGTGCCTGAGATCCCTATTTTGTGAAGTAGGAACCCATCATAGATCCGATAGTGCGACGCCACGGGTCCGGAGGTGAGCATTGCTTGTAGATGTCATTGAAGACGTGTAGATGTTGTTGAAGACTTGCCTTGAATGCGAGTATTGGCAAAGTCAAGCTGGTCAATGTAGGCCATCCATCGAGCAATTGCTATTGACCGTGTCTTGAAACTTGTAAAAGACCAAAGGGTTGTCATTGAAGACGAGTAGACGTTGTTGAAGACTTGCCTTGAATGTGATTATTGGCAAAGTCAAACTGGTCAATGTAGGTCATCCATCGAGCGATTGTGCTATTGACCGTGTCTTGAAACTTGTAAAAGACCAAAGGGTTGACTTAAACTGCCAGCGGCCGAGAAGGAAGTGTTGCCACCTGTTTGAGTGCATGGGTGAAGGCCGAAAGAGCACTTCACTGCTTGACACTTTCCTGCTTAAATGTACTCAACGGGGTGTTAATCCTCACTATTGTGATGCTCGAGGACAGCACCAATGTCATAGCCGAACGCACCAATCTTGGCGTGGGTAGGCAAAGCAGGGTCATGAATGGTCAAGGCTGTGCGGAAACAACGCGGCCTGGAGTGCGAAGAAAGCAGCCTTGAGTGCCAAAAAAGATAGTAGTCGTAGCACTCATACTGCCTGCACACTACCGAGTCAGTACCGACTTCAATGAAAGAATACAGCAGCAAATTCTGTTATTAAAAAATCAATGGCCGAAAATTGTGCGAGCCCTGGAGGTGGGCAACCAGGCCCTAAAGAAGCGCTGAGTGCTTGTCAACCCTATTCTGAAAACACTGTTTCTTAAGGGATTATTGCCTCTGATAGAGTCTTATGTCCATTTTGTTTTTCAAGTCATTGACCCCCAAGTTTGTTGATGCCATAGTCCTATGTTGCTTTTCATAAGTGTTGTATTACGTCCTGCTTATTTACACCTGTTCTTCTGTTTTTCCTTTCCAGCTCAGTGCCAGTTTCTTCCAGTGAGAAAGTTCCACTGGCACATAAATATGTGCTCGCTGCGCTGCTAGGAGCAAAAGAAGAGGCAAACAAGCAGCCACGCCAATGCATCCATGTAAGCGAAGTCCCTTGTACACCTCTATCTCACGTGCCAACCACCCTCCCTTTCCCACTTTGCCATCAGATCAGACAACCAACAAGCAAGTGCATCATGTATGTGCACATAACAACCACCCCTCGTTTTCCCACTGTTTGGTAGGATCGGGCAACGTACAACTGAGATCTCCCTTTCACACTGTACTACGCAAGTGCAGTCCATGACATTAGATTACGGCATGTTCAAACCCCTACATCCTTACATTCTGACAAAGTGCGGATCAAATAGTCCTGCTTTCCCACTTTTCCCGATAAGTGCAGCTCTCTGCAGCTGGCAGTGTGCACGTGTGTCTTCAGAACCCTTCTTCCTCAACTTCTTATCGGAAGCAATCCCTTGCCCTGGATAATGTACACATGCCTCCATACATGCTTTTCACTCCTGTTGACTCTCCTTTTCCTCAAAATCCGTTTTGCAAGATGATGACGCTTCTATGCTAAATGTGTTTGTATCTGACAGGATTTGAACTTTTAATCTGTTTGTCAACAGGCACATGTATACCATTCAGCCACCTGGCGGGACCTTAAGAGGACTCTGTTCTATGCCTTTTTTATTTTTATGTGCTAAAGAGTTTGAAAACGTGACTCTAGGATGTGAATGTTTTGGTACGAGTTTCCTCTGAATTCTAATTCCTTGTCGATCGATGTGGAATCACGTGCCAGTACTGGGAATTGCTTTGCAGGCTTCTGTGTGGAATACATGGGCAAGAGGAGAAAGAAATGGCCGAAAAACAGATGATGGATGAAATCAAGTGGTTGCAGTCTGCACCGACAGTCATTGACGAAAAGAACAAGGTATGTTGTGGCAGGGTGCATGGATGTGTGTGTGTTGTCATGTTCGCCACACACAACTCCACAAAAAAAGCATGACTGTGGCAGACTCTGTGTCTATGTGTGTAAGTTGTGTGAGAGATGGAGAGGAATAAAGAGGAAGAGAGAGAGGGAGGGAGGGGGAGAGAGAGAGTCTAGCCTGAAAGCTACCTGATATGCATTCATTGTGACAATGCACCCCAAATGGGGATTCGCAGGAAGAGTTTTCAATGACACAAAGCATGCTCTTCACGACTGTAGCGGACCGGAAAGGCTACTTGTACACTTTTGAGGGGAGGCACTGTCTTGAACTTCCCGTCTCCTCTCATCATGACTGTATTGGACCTCCGACTTTAGAGAACACCACAGGGTAACATCAAGTTCTGATTAATCACGAGCTTCAATTGGTGAATAAGCCCCTCTTTGTTGGAACAAAAAAGATGAAGACGACCGTCAGAAGTTCTCAGAACTTGTGCTTCAGGATCACAAAGTGTTTCCACAAACACACACCTATTCTTGGGGGCCTCTGTTGAGCATGGCCCTGTATTTTTCTTTCTTTCTTTCTTCCTTCTTTGTCAGAAAGGGCGATGGCCTTTGAACTTATCAGGCCCGGGCAGTGCAGAATTCATTCATTCTTATGGTTTTCGGATTTGAACTCAGGTCCGCGTTTCAATAGTTCATGGGTGTGAGATAGGCCAATTGATGGCCCCGTATTTTTGTTTTCTTGCCAATGGTCATTTTGTTGGGAGGAGGTGCGGGGCGTTCTGCCACATCCTGCCCCTCCCCTTTTCTTTTTTCAACCCCTAATTATGGCAGTGTGCTGCATCGTGTGCGTGCACACGGTGCGGTGCGCCTGCTCCGCCGCAGTTGCGTGACATGCATGCACTCAATGCGCCGTATACTTAAGGTGTATTGAGTGCATGCATTCCCCTTCTGCCTCTTTTTTCAGAATCGTTGAACTGTTCGGTTAGGTGTTTTTGATCTCTTGGTATTTGGTTTACTTCGGTTGCATTTAAAGCAACGAATGTGATAGTTTATTTAAGGGACATATGGTCTGTAATGTGCGTGCTAGAGGTGCATGGGGTCATGATGCCGAGGCCATGATACACGGCATCTTATGAAGTATTCGCTAAGCCAATGTTGGAGACAAGAGGCGAGTCGATTATTCATTCATGCAGGTCACCACATACGCAGATACTTTCTAGAAATGTTGCGTCCTCGTCCATGTCTGCTCCTCAGGCACGTAACCTGTTAGTTCTTCCGATTTTCTTCTGGGCACATTGGTTCTCTGCTCCTCTCTCCTCTCTCCTCTGACAATGCTCTTCCGGTGTGTATCACCCAATGCACCGTGAGTTGTGTCAAGTACGACGATGACAGGCATCATCATTTAATCTGTCTCCTGTGCATCACCACCAGGATGCAGCTTTTAGTATTCATTTCAAGTAAGTGCATTTGTGCTGTTTGTGGCATTCTAATGATTGTGAAATGTGTGTTGATTTCTAAACAGCTTCTTGAAGGTCATCTCCTTCTCATTAGAACCCTTGTTGAGGTTCTCGATTGTCGTATCATTGGATCTAGTCGATGCCCGGGAGGCAGGGGCCTGGTTGAACAGGTGAGGCCAGATGTTTTCCTGCCTGAGTGCTTCCCTCTCTCGTCTGCTCATCTCCATTCCCTCACCTTTCTGTCTGTGACGGTAAAGCTGGTGTTCCGAGCTCAGGATGAATTGAGTCGCATTTTTGGATGATCGTGGATCTGTTATGAATACATTTGTCTCCAAGGCGCAGGGTATGAAACTTGAGGATGAACGAGCTCGAATTAGCTAAATTTAAGGCAATTTGGTAATGTTGATGACTTCACCGTTATTGCGTTGTGACAGACTTGCCAATATGACCAGTGTTTTACATATTCTCCTTTGTTGTCAGGGGAATCATACTCGTCAGAACTGTGGTTGGAGACAAATGTTGTGCTCTACAGGTTGCATGATGGGGTTGAAATGAGTCAACCCAAGGCTATATAAATAGCCATAGGTGCCTTTATGTGCACCAAGCCCGCAGGAGAGCATCGCCGTCGCGGGCCAACTCACGTTGGTTTGTGAACGTCTTTCAGGCACAGACAGTCACCTGGTGCTTGCTCTGTGTGGTTTTGTGGACGTGCGGTGCTCACATTGATTTGTTTTTGTGGTGCTTGCTTTCTGTTGTTTTGTGGACACATGGTGCTAGCATCGGTTTGATTTTACTGCTTTTTAGTACCTCTGGCAATGTCATCGCATGCGACGCATCTGATAAGGAAGCCAAAATCTCCTTTCATTTTCGGCCATCAATCGTGGTGTCAGAAGGTGTTGTCGGTCGTGGTGTTAGAAGAAGGCCCGTTGCAAATTGTATTTCTTTTGTTTTGTGTTGGGATCTTTCTTTTCAACGCATCCTGCCGGGGGAGGGTTGAAGCTGGTGTTGTGCTTTGTTTTCTTTCATCCAGAAGCAAGGAAACACGTGTGGAGGGTGGAAAAGGGAAAGGCATGGCAGCATGCTGGCATTCGTTTTGTAGTCTGTAGTCTGTGTTTCACTTTATTGCTCTGCCTGCAGAGTGCATTGTATTTAGGGTTCGTAAGAAAACACATGGCGGGTAAAAATGACGAGGCGTGCACACATGCATGCACACACACACGCACACACGCACACAGGCACACATGCACACATACACACACGACTCACACACACACACACAATCTTGGAGCTCGGGTTTGGACCTGGCACAAATCTCGAGGTACGAACTGCCTGATGGTTGGAGGTGGGGTTTGAACCGAGG